ACACACACTCGCATGCACACACACACACACTGTTTTCATTAGCTCTTATTAATGAACCTAAAGGGGTAGTTCACCCCCAAAATTAACATTTACTCACTATTTGCTCTCCCTAAAGTAGTTATACACCTTATGACCCTTCTGTTGAACATTAAAGAAGAAACTTTGAAGTATGCTGGAAACCGGTAACCATTGACATCCATAATAGAAAAACAAATACAATGGAATTCGATAGTTTCAGTTTTTCTCAACATTCTTCTCAATATCTTCTTTATTGTTCAACAGAAATATGAACTCATAAAGGTTTAACACAAGTAAAGGATGAGTAAACGATGACAGAATTTTAATTTGTGTGTGAACTGCATCTTAAAGTGTTTTGTGTGTCCTCAGGATCAACATTTGCACAACTTCTTCCATCACTGTGAGAGTCTTGAGGGTCAGTCAGGAGGAGAGCTGGTCAAATACCTGAAGGTGCTTCTGTTTCTCCTTCATCTGGACCTTTGAGATCGCTATGGCTTGAAATTCGTCTCTCACACTGTGTGTGTGTGTGTGTGTGTGTGTGTGTGTGTGTGTGTGTGTGTGTGTGTGTGTGTGTGTGTGTGTGTGTGTGTGTGTGTGTGTGTGTGTGTGTGTGTGTTCAGAGTCTGCATGCGATGGAGGCTCATGTGATGGTCAAGTTTTTACCCACGCTGCTGAATCAGCTGTTTCGAGTGCTCACCAGTTTTGGACAGGACGATGTTGCTGTCAACGTCACCAGGTCTGTTCTTCAGTCTGATTTGACTAGTATCTACATATTATTAGGGATTATTTTATTATTTTTAGATGCATTTAATATTCTACATTTCGAAATTGTTCAATATTTGGACTCGAAACAATACAAAAATTCTTAAATTAAAAAGCATTATTTGCTGTTTTGTGAGTTTTTTTTATATCTATTTATTAATATTCATTATTTATTTATTTTATTATTTATTTTTAATTATTTATTTGTTTATTTATTTTATTTTTTATTTTTATGTGTATTTTTTTATCATTTTTATTTTTTTATTTTACATTTATTTTATTTAAAAAATAAGTTATTTATTTATTTTATTTATAATTTTTACATTTTTATTAATTATTTATGTATTTTTTTATTTATTGTATGATTTATTTAATTGTTTATTTTTATATATTGTTTTTATTTTCTTTGTATTTAAATTTTTTACATTCTTTTATTATTATTTTTTTATTACTTTTATTATTTTTTTATAATTATATAATTTATTAATTTATTTATTATTAGTTAATTAATAATTATTTTGTTTATTATTTATTTATTTATTTATTTATTTATTTATTTATTTATTATTTTTATAATTTTATTGCCAAGGCAACATTTTTAATTTTTAACTGTACATTAAATTTTACTGTAATTTAATATTAAAATGTAAAATTAAATGTTTATATTTTCAGTTTTCAATATTTTATTTTGTAACTTGGTTATGAGTTTTTTTGTTTTGTTTTATTAACTAAATAAAAATGTGCATAATTTTTATTTAAATTATTTGAGTTTTCTCAAATTTTTGTTGCTTTTTTGCAGCAACAAAGTTTTTAAGTTTGGTGCCTAATCATAACCTTATTGCAACCATATTTCACATTTATGTTGAGTTTAATTTCCTGATGTAGTTTTCTGTGATGAATGTGTGTTTCTCAGGGTAATGATTCACGTGGTGTCTCAATGTCATGAGGAGAGTCTGGAGCATCACCTGCGCTCATATGTGAAGGTGAACAGCGTTTCTCTGTGTTCATAATGAATATTAACACCTCTCACACTGCTCATCATCTCTCTTCTCTTGTTTGCGCAGTATGTTTTGAAGACTGAGACTAATTTGAGCAATGGTAAAACCGTCCACGAGGAGCTGGCGAAAGCCATGACCGCCA